TCTCCTTAAGTCATAGTTGTTTATTACAAGTCAAATATTTTTCATTATTTAAGTACTCTATGACAACTATGAAAGCAGTTTAAATGTTAAATATTGATATAGCACTTTCATGTTTCATTTGTAGCAAACTACAAATAATTCTGACTCAAATGGAGTGTCACTTCTGGAAAAGATTATATGTCAACTTAGTATGGTAATGCAGGAAGTTTTTCCCTGTATAAAAAAAGAAATCCTTTGTGCCAAATGCATTTAAATTTTAGATATTTTTCAGGCTTGGTGATACTAACCAAAGCTGAGAACTTTTTACATAAGAGTGAATTAATCTACATAGCAGGAATCTCATTCTTTTACTAGACAGAGTAACAAGAATATGTAGCAACATAAGACATGAATTATGTATTACTTACAGTTTTGTATAGTGGTGATTTTGGAGATAAACATTTTCTATTAGTGTAAATAGGATACCAACAGTAATTTTTTTTATGGGAACAAAAGCCCTAGTTATTAATCCTCACCTGAAAAGTTTTAAATTTGAATTAGCATTAATGGAATTAACAGCATTTGTTTTTAACTTCAAAGTAACTTCTGTTTGAACAAAGAAATTAAAAACAAATAAATAACGAGTAGTATTAATCCATGCCTGTATTCCAAAAAAACCTGATCTCACAAAACTGTTCTGGAAACTAGTAACTTTAGCACAGTACTGTAGATTTTAATTCATCTAAAAGCTCTCAAGTTGTTACTTTCACAGAATTAAAAGGCAATACATATTTCAGGGGTAATTTTAACTTAATTTTCCAATTCTCCCCTCAAAAGTGAAGCTATAAAACATTACATGATGAACATCTTGAAAACTGTCCAAGTATGTAAGTTCAATAAGATGAGACGCTGAAGTACTCCATTTGTCAAAGAAAAATCATGACCTTGTATCTGTGATCTCCTCCCATGTAGTGTGGGAGGAAAATCCTGTGTTCTGTAAACACAAAACAGTAACATGGCAATGACAGGAAGATATATTTTTTTTCTATTTTTTTTTTTTTTTAATCTCAGTGACCTTTCTCCCATAGAAGATTACACAAACTGCATTTTGGATGTAACATTCACAAAGTCTTAAAATTCAAATTGATAAACTCACCATTCCTTTCCCTGTGCTCCCTTAATGATGACACTCAAGCTTTACAGGTGGCTAGTAATAATCACAAAATCTACTATGTGCTCTTTTCCAGCTGTTCCAATCGCTGTGCCACACTGAGTTCACAGGATCGGTATCTTCACATAAAATTGCCATCTAACAAGATACATTAAAAAAAAAAACCAACTCCAATCCAGCTGATAATTTGTCAAAATCCTTCAAAGTTGAACATTTTCCATGGGAAAAAACTACCTAGTACCTTTTTTGCTAATTGCAAAGCTTTACTCTGTCTTTAAAAACCAGCATCCTAGTTTGTCTTCCAAATCCACGTGATCTTTTAACGAGTTCCTGCTGTTTTTTTTTACTCAGTTATTGAAATCAAGTTTATACCACAGCCTCCACCCTTAGTTTTTAGCTAGGAAAACTGCTATTTCTCATTAGTTCCTACACACTAACACTGTGTTTTTGTTGACTCTGCAGTAAATGTTACTCCCTTAAATTACACTGCAACATTTGAGACCTGACAAAATAAGAGGGACACAAAACATGGATTGAAAAGTTAACTTTCCCGCCCTGCTAATTTCCTTGTCCACTTTATCTATCACATAAACCAACAGATTTAGGGAAGTGTTGGGAACACCCTTTCAACAGGAAGGGTAAAAACAAGAAAGGGTGAAAAAAACAAATAGCCATTGCTGCAATTTAGGCGTGTGAAATACAACATACAATGAAATGATAAAATGCAGGCAGAAGCAACCAGTTTTCCAAACTTATTACTGTTAATTAAGAAATGCCTTTCAGATATCATGTCCAGCACAGCTGTTGAATATAATGGCACAGTGAATCCAGATGGTGAATCCTCCTTTTTTCAACTTCAAAACCAAAAAGGAATTTCATGTCTTATGGAGTTCTGATCATTTTGGATGCACAGACTATTTAATGCTGGATACCATCAGAGACTTCTTCAGCAGCTTGTAAACATTCAAATGATTACAAACCGTAACCCAGCAGGCCTTCTCATTGCTCACAGTTAGTAAAGAATCTGGAAGCTTCTATCACTCAATCAGTGGTAAAGTTTAAATTTTGAACCATCAGATACAGGACTAGCTTACTAAGCAAAAGGAGTATTATGGGACACTCGAAGTCTTCAAAATATCCTCAGCAAGATATCCTTGAAGTATCCTTGAAAGTATCTTCTTCAAGCCTGTTCAGGAATACCATGCCGTTTTAGTACTTAGTTGTTTCTGAGAACTGTGGATACTTGTAACTCAGAGCAGCACAAAGAAATCTTAACACTTCAAATCTATGAAACTCTTCAGAACTATGAAAAAAACCCACCACCTTTAATTTTATACATGCAGTTTCACAACCTATTACCTAAATACTAATTACATTGCCATATACTATAGCCATGAAAATTATGATTCTGCACGTGAACACTTCCTCTGAGAAGTCATAAATCAAAAGAAACACAGGTTTAAAAATTTTCAACTTTGAAATTTATTTAGAACTCAGGGGTTAAGTGTGGTAAGTTTCCAATTGTCTGATAATAGCATACCCATGTAACTATGACGGAAATTGCACTAATTCCCTCTGCCCCCCTCCCACTTAGAAATCTGGTTAGTTTCAACAGCCGGTGGTTTTGCAAATAGTGCGCTCTGGGACACTACTGCATTTCCTGAGTGTTCAAAGCTACTGTATGATACATTAAGCTGAAAGAAAACCAACAAAATTATTATTCAGAGCTAAACCAGCTATTTTACCTTACTGCTGAAGTACAGAATCATAAAATGCAATGTATTTTAACAGGAATTTGTTTTGGAATGCTTAAAAAGGGGAAGAAAGAAAAGAAAAAAAAAAAGAAAAAACACCATTTAAAAAAAATGACATCCTTTTTGCTTTAATTTCAAACTATATAATTTTAAGCCTCAAGTCATTAACCTCAAAACTATTAAAAATGGCCAGTGAACTTAAGACTCCTTCAGATTGATATGTAGTTGTGACTAAAATATCCATGTCGGTATTCCTTGACCTTTTAGGGTATTCCTAGCAGCTCTAACAAAAGCAGCATAGCAGGGTATCTCTGTTTTATCTTTCTAGTGCTCTTGAAAATGAGTTACTAACAGCACTGACCACAGTGCTTACACATTGGATTTCAGACAATTGCCCTGCAATGCACTTCAGCTTTATCGTGCAAAACCAATCTGGTCACAGACATCCCCACATTAAACACATTAAATTGTGCCAAAGTATGTGATGTGAATAAATGTCAGCTAATCTATCAACACATAGATTAATGTCAGCTTGTCTATCAAGCATTATTTAAGCCTAGAATAAAATTTCATTTGTCAGAACTGAACTCCTCCATGGGCAGACAGCATAGTCTCTGTAAATTACTAGTTTTCAACCAGAAAAATCTCTTCAAAGTTGTATTTATGTTGACAAACAGGTTTAGAGGAGAGTTTCAGCCATGAGTTAATACATCAAGAAAGAGGTCCCACCATCAGTCAGTAGGATTTTTCCATGATAGACCACAACCACTTCTTGATCAAAACAAAGCTGAAGCACAGGCGGCTGATGGAAACGCTAACTACATTGTTCTTGCATCATTTCTCATGATGCATTAGATTTATTCTCATTTACACATGGTTTTGGCAGAAGCATTCTTCAGGCTGCAACTGAACAAAAAGCAACTTCTTGTCTCAAGTTGTTTGTTTTTTCCTCTTTATGGAAACTTGCTTTGAACAAAGAACTCATAATACAAGCAACTGCCAGCAGGAACGACCAAGAGATGATGTGTTCCACTCTAGTATTACATCAGTGGCTTGCCAATCCTTTTCCCCTAAAATATTTTTAAAAACATTGGAAAGACCTATGAAATTTATAAAACAGCTCCTTAAACATCTGCTTAATGCCCTTTCCTTCAAATATAAAAGACCTCCAACATTTTAGGGTCTTTTTCTGTGGGTACAAGGGAGAGGTCAAGGAAGAGGTAAAAGGTAGGATAACTGATATATTTTCAGCTGCTATGTTACAAAATTTAAATGACTACTACGCTAAAGATTAAATACAGACTTTACATAAACAATCAGAACAATGGAAATAAACCATAACTGAGGTCATATAAAATCCTTATCAGGTCAAGTGACAGTATATTAAGAATAACCTTATATGTTATACAGAAGATAATATACACAGATTGCAACAGTTAGTTTTCCCCTTAAAAGTCACTGTCAGTAGGATCACAGTCTTACTGCACAGACAAGTGACTGGAATATTTGAAATTACTAACAGGGTAAATTTAGGTTATAAAAGAAAAATGTATCAAGTACACCTTTACATATGTCTATACTATGACTTAAATTAAAAGCCTTCTTAAACATTCTCCTACATACTCCACTTTCACCCTATCTGGAATATCACTGCCAGTACACAAACCCTAGGGAGGGCACTTCTAATCTAGTTAGTGTAACTATTCTAAAGGACAGCCATCTTAAAAAGGAGATTAAGTTCAGATGTTTAGAAACTTTAAAAACAACAGAAAGTTAGAAACCCTAAACAGCTACTCGTATGTAACTATAACTACCTTTTAGAGAATATGAGACTAAACTCCAGTATTTGCTATGCTCATTGTATTAAAAGAAAGTTCTACCACACCTAAAGGATAAGGCATAGCCATCTACTAATTGGCATATTTGTTTATTTGTGAAAAGGTCCTTATTTGTGTAAGCAGCAAAACAAACTCCAACTGAATGATTGCTATATGCAAAAGAACTGAAGGCAACTGCCTCTGCAGTGAACTTTATAGTTCTCAACAGCACACACGCAACATGCTATCTGAAAAAAGTTACTAACTGAACTACATGTATTAAATACTGAAAAAAGTTTTACATTTTTTTATTATAATTTATTTTATTTAACAATCTAAGAAGTTTGCAGCCATCAGAAGTTCCAGTGCAATTTCAGGTGCAATTGGGAATTCAGGAATCTCCGTAGAGCTGTTAGTATAGCGGACCTTGTAGGTGAAATACATGCATACTTTGGATAGGACATGGGATGGGATCTCTCTAAAATTGACCTCATTTGTTTCATTTTCTGCAAACTGTCCTGTAGAAAGAAAAAAAAACAACACAAAAGAACACCAAAGCAAAAGTCAGAATCTCAATTCACTGCAAAATGAAACACACTAGTACACTAATACAACACATTCTAAATAGACCTGCATAAATCCCATATTCCAGGGTATTATATTCTTCGTTGTAAACCAGGAGGTGCCACATTCAGAGCCCTCAAGAATATTAAGATACCCAGCATTACAAAGTGTTTATTTTGGCTGCAGCCTATTAACAATATTCTGAATAACTACACCAGAAATTTAGGTTTACTTCCAATATAGCTGATGTGTGCTCAGTCCAAAAGGTTCTGAAGTTCACAGTAACAACGACAACAATAAAAAGACATCAAATTTCTAACTGTCTTAACCAAGGGAAAAAAAAAAGCTTTATAGATGCACTGTGTCTGCACATGCACACCTAGCAGTAGTCCCTTCTGTGACTCACTAGCTTTGAATTTCTCAGTTTCGGGCAGATTTGACAAAAGGATTGAAACCTCAAAGATGCATTAACTCGGTAAGTTGTGAAAACAGGCAGGCAGCAGGGATAGAGAAACTCTAGTTGTACTGGAGAAAAGGTTATATACAGTACAAGTTCATCGCTATTAGATATTAAAGAATTTATCCAAAGCTCAAATCTCAAAACACAAGTACATTTGAAATTAACTTTCTATAGTGCCTATAACTATGAAACCTGGATGATACAAAGTCATCCTATGGTTCATCCCATAGCCTTTCTACTGTTATCTTTGTTTTTCTTTTCCTCATATCTCTAGACTTTCATTAAGCTGAAAGACAACACAAAAAATACTAACATGAGCTCCATATTTATGGAAGACTAGCAGTGTTTGGTTCCCATTATTTCTGTAGGCATCCCCTTCTAACTACAAAGCAGAACTATTTACTAATGTCTACACAGATTTGTGTAGAAGTATCTGCATGCACCGAAGGCAATCTGGCTTGAATTCTAGTACAGGAACAGTCGGAAGCAACAGAAGAAATGTTAGCATATTGGCAATGTCACAGCACTGGAACAGAACACTTAAACATCAGTGAAATTATGACCTACTGAACTAGACAGCAACGGTACTTTCCCTTGTGAATGCATTTATCTTGCTAGTTTTTATACAAAATATCCTTGAATGCTGAGTCCTTTACGGAGTCAGTTTCTAGCCCTCTAAGCAGGTTACTTTGCCTTTTATTCCTTCGTTGAACAAATTCAGAGCAGGTCTTGTAACTACTCTTCCTTTTGCCTGTCTGGGAGGACAACATGGAGTGGATCAGACACAAAAGACATTTTACATATTTTCAAATGCAACCATTAAAATAACAGCAGAACATTAAGCTGAGAATTTTAATTGCTCAGTTTGTCCAAGTATTACTAAGTAATTTTAAAATGTATTACACAAATAGATCTCTCCAATAATCCTCCTCACCAGAACCTAAAAGAGAACAGAAGAATGACCATATTCAGATCCAAGCTCCACATAGCCCACTGCCCACCACTCCAGGGGCTAAAGGTAAACACACAAGATGCGGGTGAAGAAGAGGGAAAGCCCGTGTCAACTTCTCCCTGTTCTCTCCTCCAAACCTTTTGGTCTTCAAAAGTTAGTTTAGACACTTCTTAACGCAGACATAGTCTCATATATTCAGTAACACACAAGGTCCTTCCCTTCTGTAAGTTTATCTATCCTTGTCTCAAAGGAAAGTTAACTTTCATCATTAGGCTCAGGAATTCCTTGCCATAGGATGTTGTGAACATGTGGCCTAAATCCAACCAGGCAGCTGAGCACCACACAGCCACTTGATCACTTACCCCTGCTGTGGACAAAGGAAGAGGAAAGGAAAAGTAAAAGCAAGAAAACTAGTGGGTTGAGAGAAGAGAAAGAAAACAAAACAAGTTATGCAAAGGTAATCATCACCTCCCATGGGTAGACTGATGCCCAGCCAGTTCCCAAGCATAAGGTGGCTAACCTCCTGTAGGGGGTTTCAGTGGCTGGGTTTTGGTAGCAGGGGGGGCTACAGCGGTGGCTTCTGTTAGAAGCTGCTAGAAGCTTCCCCTGTTCCGTGGAGCCAATGCCAGCTGGCTCCAGGACGGACTTCCTGCCGCTGGCCAAGGTCGAGCCAATTAGGAGTAATAGTAATGCCTCTGTGATAACATATTTCAGAAAAGAAGATTGTTGCACAGAAGAAATTCCACCCAGGGAAGAGCGGAGTGAGAACGTGGAAATAACAACGTAGACACCAAAGTCACTGCAGAAGGAGGGGGACGAGGTGCTCCAGGCGCCGGAGCTGAGGTCCTGCAGCCCGCGGTGCAGACCATGGTGAAGCAGCTGTGCCCCTGCAGCCCATGGAGGACCATCCAGGTGCAGAGACCCACCTGCAGTCCATGGAGCAGGTGGATGCATGAAGGAGGCCGTGACCCCGTGGGAGGCCCAGGATGGAGTGGGGTCCTGCCAGAGACCTGCGGCCCATGGACAGGGAAGCCCACCCTGGAGCAGGTTTTTCCCAGGTAGGACTTGCGGCCCCTGTGGGGGGACCCACATCGGTACAGCTCATTCATGAAGGACTGCATCCCATGGAGGAGTGACCCACGGAACAGCGGTTTGGGAACAACTGCTGCCTGAGGGATGGACTCATGCGGGAGAGGTCCATCAAGGACTGTCTCCCGTGGGAGGGACTCCAGGGGAGCAGGGGAAGGGCTCCTCTCTCTGAGCAGTGGCAGAAACAACAACTGACCATAACCCCCATTCCCCCTCCCCCTGCACCGCTGGGGGGGAGGAGGGAGAACACGGAAGGAAGGAGGAGTGGGGGGAAGGTGTTTTTAAGACTGTTTTATTTCTCATTCTTTGACTCTTATCCTGTTAGTAATAAATATTAAGTACTATCCGCACTTTGAGTCTTGTTTTGCCCATGAAGGTAATCAATCACTGACCTCTCCAAGCTCTTATCTCTACTCATGAGTTGTTAGCTGTTTTTTTTCTCTCTTCTCTGTCCAGTTGCAGGGGGAGAGTGAGAGAGCAGCTTTAGTGGGTACCTGGTATCTGGCCAGGGTAAACCCACTACACCTCCCTAATTCCCTCCACTCTCTTTTTAACTTTGGAGCATGATATTATATGGCATGCAATATCTCCTCTTTCATTAGTTTGGGTCATCTGTTTGGTTGTGTTCCCTCCCACCCTCTTGCACACCCTCCTGTCTGGAAAGTCATTGGGTGGGGTAGAATGAGAAACAGAGAAGGCCTGGAGAGTGTGCAAACACCTTTCAGCAACAGCTAAAACAGAGGTGTGTTATCAGCACTATTTTGGTCACAAATTAAAGCACAGAACCACATGACCTGTTATGAAGAAAATTAACTCCATACAGAATACAAGTACCACTGTGGAGGTGGCAATAAAAAACTACCAGCTTGTTTGTTTTGAACTTGACAGCTACACATTTCATGTAATACCCTCAAGTTCTCACACCATGAGAAACTAGTAGCAGTGATACTGTACGATCACTAACTTCCCAAAAGAAGAGTTCAATTTTAAGTCTGGTAGCACAATACCCCACAGAGGTGCACTGCTCTGCTGGAAACAGGAACTAGGCAGGATCTGGAAAAGTAATCATTTATTCCAACTTTCACTCACTGCATGATAAAATATCAAACTGTCCAAAAGTGAAAGCAAAGAATGTGAAGGTACTAAATCTTTTGTACCTACCCGGTCCACTCAACATAGCTTTTATTGTTCCTGATGTTAATGCATGCTCTCTTTTTACGATGAACTCATGGCCATCAGAGGATATTAACTTCACATACATAGCATCTGGGCCTTCACACCCACCGTATGTTTTCTCTTCTCCATCTATAATAGAAAAAAAGACAATGGTTTGAGAACACAATATACTGATTCACAACACTAATAATGCAAGTTGCAGTCTTTTCTATGACTACATTTGCAAAATGAAGAATCTAAATGCAACCGGAAATAAGATAGAAACATTTTCCATATTTGAGGACTTTGTACAGAATCACAGAACATTCTGAGTTGGAAGGGACCCACAGAGACCACTAAGTCCAACTCTCATGTGAATGAGGGGATTGAACCCACAACCTTGGCTTTATTAGCGCCATGCTCTAACCAACTGAGCTAATTTCCTCTGAAACAATCAGCAATCTGTTTTAAGGCAAGAATTTTTGCACAAGTTGGAATTTTAACATCTCTCCTCTTTCATTCCTCCATCACCAAATTCTGTCATGATTTCTAAAATCTATGTAGGGATGAAGTTTTCCTTTAGACATTCTCAAGTGAATTGAACATGCTACTGATTCACACTGTAAGGCTATTGCCATGTTTATCATACTAAAACTTGCTAAAAGTTACCTAAAGACGTAGCTGATATTTAAAAACACAGACTGCAAGGAAAAAGGTGCTTTCCAAAGCACAGGTAAGAATAAAAGCAGTCAGCATTCCTGCACTGAAGAAATGAAGATTCATCTTCCCTCACTGCCCAACCAGACCCAGAACCACACAGCACTAGTGCACACCCATGTTGTGGTGGAAAACAGGGAAACTGCCAAAGCACTAAACCCAAGGAAATTTGGAAGTTCTCCCCACAGCAGTTTTGATTGTGCTTTTTCTGTTCCACTAAATACTCACTCTTTACTTTTCTTCTCCAGAAGCCTTCACCCTCTTCCCTTTTTGTTCCTTCATTTATTCTATCCCAACAGTGCTATCTTTAAAAGCTGAATTACTGTTGCCAGTATAGCAAGCAAAACATTCCCCCAATCAAGTTGTTTTGTGAATTTGAAATTAAAATTGAATTACCATGTAGTTATTGCCAATTTTAGTAAAGTACTGCCAGTGCCACACATGCTAAAATATATTCAGAAAAAGTACAGATAAAACCAGAATCTGTCCAATCACATTTCATTAACCAGTCATTTGTAGAGGTAGATACAACAGTTTCAGACGTAGTCATATCACACACAATGTAATTTACCAGAAATCAGTTCTTATTATGATCTCTGAGCCAGAATTCCACAGGCTGACCTTAGCTAACAAACAAGCAAAGAATTACTTAAAACAGTACATAGTGAAATTTTCTTGTCCGCTATCTAAAAGTTTAGTGCCATAAAAGCCTAAAGGCATTCCTATTTTAGCATGTACATTTTTAGGACTATGCATGTTAAGCAAGTGAAATTTTTTGTTAGATGGATGCACTCTGAACAAGTGTTTCCATAAATGAACAGTCACTTGAGAAAATTCTCCTACAAAACATTTGTAGGAAGTTCCACTTACTTTTGAGGCTGCAAGAAAAACGGTGACAAGATCAACATTTAAAGTCTTACAATCCAACTCCTCTATCAATGTGAGAGAGAAAATGCTTCAAATCACAGGAAAGCAGAAAACACTCTAAGACTATGAACTTACCCATTTTCTTCTTATAAAATAAAAATATTCCTTTTCAACTGCAGATTTTGCAATAGGAGCGTCTGAAAAAACACAAGAGGCAATATTTTGAGTCAGCAGTACCATTTTTAAAGTCACCTTCATTTATTAGTCTTTATGTTATCATAAACACTCTTCAGAAAAGAATACGATAATACACAGCATGCAACGTTGATGAACAGTCCACTTTGAAAACGGAAACCTATGAAGTTCACCAATGGGAAACGCAAACCCCTGCACCCTGGGAAAAATTACCCCAGGCACCAGTATTGTCCGGAGGCTGACCTGCTGGAAAACAGCTCTGCAGAAATAGACCTGGGGGTGCTAGTGGACAAGTTGAACATGAGCCAGCAGTGTGTCCTTGCTGCAAAGGTGGCCAACAGCACCCTGAGCTCTGTTAAGAGCACTGCCAGAAGGTTGAGGCAGGTGATCCTGCCCCTCCACGCAGCACTAGTGGGACACATCTGGAGCGCTGGGTCCAGCACGTGCCAGACTGAGTCCTGCAAAGGGTCAAAAGGATGAGGGATTGAAGCACCTGTCACACAAGGAGAGGCTGAGAGAACTGGGGTTGTTTAGGCTGGAGAAGACAAGGCTCAAGGATCAGTCTAATCAGTATGCACTAAATACCTGGCCTCCAACCTGTCCTTCCCGAGACTGACAGTTCCTGATACCACCACCCATGTCACCTAGATAATCTACTTCAGACATTTAATGTAGGTATTCACATGGTAAGTTAACCAGGAGCTTCCATAGCTTATACACTGACATCCAGCTTGCTGCATACATATTTCTCCATGAAAGTGAAACTAAAGAGTTAGAGAAATGGAAGCGCTTATGTGCAAAACAAATCTAACATGTTCAGACACAACTTATATTTCTTTACCCTGAACTGCATCTCTGCTGGGGAAAAGAAAACTTTGGAAGAGAAATTCCTCCCACCTACCTGCTGTCCTAAAACTTCTTTCATGTCAACAGCCGCTCTCTAAACATTAACCCAGTAAAAATCAATGAACTAGTATTGTGTGCCCACAGATTCAGGAAAACAGCATCAGGGAACCTGGGTGGTTTCCCAGCTGATATTCAGGGTTGAGGGCAGCAAAAGAGACCAGAATAGAGACCACTCCCCACATTCCCTCCCTCCTATGTTTCTGGTAATAGTTCAGCAAGACAATGTAAGCAAGCTGAGGAAGCTGCAAGCTTTGGAAGAAGCACTACAGACATCGCTTTGCTATTGCTGATAGCTTCACTTTTCCACAGCACTTTGATACTGATTTGTTCCATTTCCCTTTTTTATAGCTACAAACATGAAAGAGTCTGAATGTTGCCTCCATCTTTCACAAAAAGGCACTTTGTTATGTATGCTTAACCAAACTACACACGCATAATCAATAGTTTTTAATTATCTGTGGAGAAAAGAGCAAAATTCACCCTTCACTTACATTGCTGCTGTCTTTGGAGTGCTAAATGCCTTCACCATTTTCAGTAATTCCAGGAACTCATCTAAGGAAATTACATTTGGGTGCTGGAACAGTTAGGGCCCAAAACTGATGGGATCCTTCACCCTATTCCGACAGTTTTTGTAAATGGGAAATCAAGCATCTTATTGGAGAGTATCTGTTGCTGACAAACTGAAGAGATACCTTAAGTTATTACTTCTACTTTGCAGAAGAGGATCACTTCTGCTATCACTTTTTCTAGTCACAAAACCCTTCGTTATATTCCAAAAGAGTAGTGAAACCACTTATGATTTATAAATAATAATAATAAAAAAAAACCATGGAAGCGATACCATTTTTTGGAAGTGTTGGTGAGGATAAAATGTTCCTTGGTTTACAATACAAGTACTGTTACTAAATACAGGAATAAAGACAGGTTAGTTAGTGGGAATGCAGATATATTAAGACCTTGCAAGGTAAAAGCGTAACTTGAGGAGGCTAATACATTGAAAGTGGAGAACTGAAAAGAAATGTCTACACAAAAAAACCACTAGAGCTGTCTCAAAAAGATGCAATGAGCATTTTAATAAATCAAATGAAAAGTGCTATGATTATAGAGGAGAAAAAAATACAGTAGTTAACAAAGAAGGAAAAAAACCTATCAGGCTTGGTGGTCTGAATTCAGTTGCTCTAAAAAGGAAAACAGGATAAAAATATAGTAAGCTTTAGTAAGATTTGGGTCACACTGAACTATTCCAATACCTAAAAATTAATCAATCATTTTCTTTGAAAAAAAGATGCAACCTGGACTCTTACATCATATGGGGTTAAATAAATATGATGAGAGGTAATCTTAAAATGAGAAAGAAATTTGCTACAAGACTACGAGAATACTGTATGGCATGGCAAACATGGAACAACTAGGCTAGAAAAGAACTACTAGTTCCTCCAAAAAATATGTTGAACTTTTATTTTAAACAGTGCTGCCAGAAAATAATAGGTAGATTTGGATGAGATGGAAGTGAAAAGCATTGCAACAAAAGGGGAACAAAGCATAACACGCACAAGTGACCAGTCTTGAAAAACGGCATACTAGAAACTCATGAAATTAAATGTTATGAAATGCAAGATTCCTGTATGTAGGGACCAATATAATCTTCTTTCAGGTAGTCAGGGCTTGTTATTTGGGAGTATAGACATTCTGTGGTCAATTATAAACTGATGCAGCTCTAAGGGACCAAAAGAAAAAAAAAAAGGTGGGGAACAAAGAGGAAAAGGCACACTGAGGACTTCTTTGCAACAGAGATAGATATGAGCACTGTTGCACAAGAGCAACAACTTGTCTGGAATGTCACACACATTTCTGAATTCCTGTTTTCAAGAAAAAGAAGTTCGAATTACAAGAACTACAGGAAGGAGCTACTGATATGACCAAAGAGCTTGTTTTATGAAAGAAAAATTAGTCTTCCTTACTCAGCATAGCAAAATAAAACTGGAATGAAGATAAATATAAAAATTCATTAAAAAGATAAGCATCAAATAGGGAGAACTATGCCAACACTGTACCTCAGTTTAAGTCCAACAAATGAACATAAACAAGAAATATAAAGGATGTAGAAATCATTGTCACTCACAAATTCTCAATTGTGCACATAGTAAAAAGAGTATGGAGGGAAATTTTCTGCACAATATTTTTTACTTGACAACAGCATGGCCTTAAGGTTTAAATAATAGGTTAGAAACAGGAGAGTCAAAAAACCTTGTATGTTGTTGTCAGAGACTGAAACAGTTAACAATTTATGCATTCTAGGACTGCCAGGAGACTTTTGCAGGCTTTTGCAGGACTTTTGCATTATACCTATGATGGGCAGCTGGGTCCATCTCTCCCTCCAGTGCTGCTGAAGGCGTCAAGCCCTGAAAAGGCGAGAAGAGCCATGTTCACCATGCCCTCCACATGAACTCTGCACTGGCCTGTCCAAGATGCTAGAGGTTCATGGCATGGCCCATCAAAGCCCATCCCCTCGCCAATTCTGAAAGGCGGGAAAAACCCTTCTACCAGGCCCCTCACAGGAACTCTGCACAGGCCCAGGAGACATTGGAGGCTCGTGGCATGGCCCGTGACACTATCCATGGATATAACAACTCATAACTTCTTTGAGTGTGGGGGCTTCCCTCCTTCACCCCCAAAGGGTCAAGGCCTCCCCTTCAACTGACAGACATGGAAGCTGCAACTACCAAGTTTCATCGCTGGACCCCGTGGGCAATGACTATATACATCTTTCCACTCTCATCTTTTCTTTCCCTTACTCTCCCTTACCCTTATCCTGTCTTTCTTTTCTCTCCCTTATGCATTTTCCCTAAAGGTTATCTTTATGCCATATTGCTATAGATGAGAAATATAGATGATAACACCCAAAATGCCAACATACCTGTTTACCTTTGAAACAAAACTGTTCTAAAATAAACCCTACATATATATGTTTTCAAACACTGATTATTCAGTCTCGTTTCACTCATCCACCCCAAGGGATTTATTAATAAGAACCTGGGTTATCCCCCCCCGCCCTTTTCTGGGGCGGGTCGTAACAGTTGTCTTCCAAGAAATTATTTTCTTATAGTGTATTTTCCAATGTAATGTTTATTGCAAAGCATATCACTACATTTTCCTTCTGTATAACTAAAGCACCACAAGCAACAACATATGCCAAGCCAATATGAAGAAAGAGACTCTGAGATTTCTGAAGATGCCTGGTAACTGCCTATATTTTAATTACTTTTCCAAATTTTATAGCTGCCCCTGTCTGACTTCACCAATGAAGTAGTTGGGAAGAGAACAACCCAAGTTTTGAGAACTTGTATTTATTAAGTATTTTTAACTTGACTATTCCAGACTCCTGCAAAGAACCACTAATTTTTGCTGAAGTACAGTCACAATTCTATTTACCCTTCAAGAAGCTTATCTGACATCACCAATTAGGTAGATCAGCTCCCTGACTTTAATCTCTAAAAAGCATATATATTAGGTGTTGCTGTTCTACTTTGCCTCCTTAAAAAAAAAAAAAAAAGAATTAGCAAAATCTGTGTTTGTTAAGGGAAAGTTTACATAAAAGGAATATGTCACTTTTTTATCTACGAGGGAGAATACAATACAACTAAAATCAGCTTATTTGGCACACAAAACTTCCAGCCAGTCTAAAAAGGAAGTTCTTGCTGCAGAAAACAACATTCTCATTGTATACTAGAGAACTGAAAATTGTCACAAGTTGCCAGAATATTTACATGTATCAGGTAGACTATAACAAAGTATCACAAAACACAGCAACTAAGCCACACCAGGCAAGTGCTCTTGTTTCCATACTTTAACATCATCTTCTTGCAACTCTAAGAAATACCATGGTGTAGTGAGTTTAGTTCGATCTCTTCCCTGCTTCTCTTGACCATCAAATGCACGAACAAAATCGAAGCATGTCCACGACCGTCCCACCTCACTCCCAGAGTTGCGAGCTCATCTCCCAGACTTTCCCAGAAATTCCAGAATATCATTTCCTTGTACATCCTGTATGTTGATGAGAGTGGAACAGACTGGAAGGACATATGTAGCTGAACACTAATGTAGCTGAACACACACAACCACTGTAGAGCTTCCAGAACCCCACTGCTGTGTTCTGATCAGTACAAGAAAATTAAATCTATGCAAACATTTCAAGCACTCAGATTCTTTGATCCCACAGGAAAACTTTAAAATATCACATTCTGGTTCAAGGAAACTCAAATGGCTTCCAACTCATCAACTACAGCACATGCACATGGCTTTTGTATTGCTTAGCTGGTGACATTTCTGTACTCTACACTATCACTTTCCAGAAAATGTGTGGCAAATAACACACACAAATTCCTTCACAATTCCTACGTTACTTTAGAAGCCAACTGTTGACAATTTTTTGGGTGTCATTTCTGCATCAGTAAGAATTCATCAGTTATCAAAGGCTGCTATATGTTGCAACAGAAGCCTCCTATCGTTCAATGCTAAATTCTATCCTATCCTAAACAATAATTTGTTTAAAAACACCACTCTTCAGTTTAGCATTCACTACTCAGTCTGCATCGAAAAATAATTAATGTAAGTAGGGATCGAAGCATATTTTGAAAAAACACGATGGGAAACTGGCACAGTATGACTTCCAAATCAGCTGATTCACTATTCCATACTCACAGGCACTAAAATTCAAACTTTTGGGGTCACTGGAATGCAACAGGAAGGTAAAGTAAAGGTGAATGTTAGTTGAGATTGGTGATGTGATAGGATATCATGTATGGAGTATCAAAGATCCCACTTAAGATTTCTTTTCCTGTCGAAGGAAAGTTTCCTTCTCAGTAATTCCCAAGAAAGTTTCAAGAAAAAAAAAAGGGCAGGGGAGCATTAACTGTTTTCTTCTAAACATACAATAAAAGCCCTGTACTGTAAGCTCTTGCCAAAGGTTGCTGGCATGCTGCAAAATTTTATAGGGCATGGATTACTGCCCTCTTATTACAGGCATTAATCAAAAACTACTGTCATGCAAACTACCCCACAATGAAGATAATTAAATCCCAAACCTTTCTAGGTGCAAAGAGAACTTGCCAAAGTACATCGAAATTCCTTTATTGTAATCTGACAAAACCCACATTTTTATGACAAAACTTAAGGGTTTCTTGTAACATACTCTGAAAATTACAAAACACAGTAAAACACCTGAAGCTGAGTATCCTTTCAAAAGATACTCATTTACCTCACTGCACCACTGTTAAGAGTCTTCATATTAAGACTACATGAAACTGTCTAAATCTTTTCATTACCAACCCTAGCACAAAAAAAATTAAATCTCAAATGGCTTTTCTCTGATGCAACAAGAAAAAAACTAAGTGCTGAAGTGCTAAAAGTTTCTAAAGATTCTCTTAAAACTCCCAATGGACATGGTAGCAAAAATTTTATAACTTAAGCACACTAAAAGGCTGATGCCAAGGCATAAGGTATGTGCTACATGTGCAAAGATGGTAGGCAACATACTAGAGAAAAACTAATAAAAATTTATTCTCCTTCTAAGTAACTCTTCGGTTAATAAACATTTATCCCCCCCAAATTTTTTTGGTCCTTATTATAGCAAAAGGAGTAAACTAGAAGCACGTAAGAAATTATTCAGAAATAAGTGCCCAAAGGGGTTCTTATCCTAAAGGTCTCTCGCCTGCCTGTTTATCTGTGTTTTTCTGGTTTGCTTCCAAATTTCATCAAAGCCAAGTAAACAAGTGGCATGTGACTATCTAGGTCTCCCCACAGTGCAAAGTTTAACTTAAATCTACAGTAACAAACACACTTAATAAATATTTAATAAATGTTACTTGATGTGAGATTAAATTGGCTGTTAAGGCAAACTGCCAGCATCACCATCACCTTTTCACACATATATATGAAGCCAGCAATAACTTACTAATGCTCAGGTTCCCTTTTTTTTAAAGCAGAACCTCCCTTTGAGGAACACACAGCACGCAAAAGCTTATTTTTATTGCTACCTGTAGGCGTATCACCCTTTTCCTTGCTTTGCTTACTAAAGAGTCAAAGCACTTTAACCAGCACTTCTCACCTTGGCACAACAAACCCTGGAGGCGCAGCCTAAATTCTTTCGGCCTTAGCTTTTCCCCTCTCTAGGGCCTGGCGCAGGAAAAGGGCGAACGTCACTTACGGCAGGAGTTTGGGAGCGATGCTCAAACACAGCACAGCTCCGGGGAGCCCCCTTCCCGGCGGCGCCGGGATTCCAAGGAGAAGGCTCTGGGGGGAGAAACGCGCTTTTCGCCACCACCCCGGAGGGGGAACCCGGGCCTGGCACCGCGCCCCGCACGCCTCGACGGCTCTGGGGGCCCCTCCGGCCCCTCCGCCCGCCCCCTCCCGCCTGGAGCGGGGCGAGGCCCGCTGCCCTCTGCGGCGGCTCCCCGAGGGGCTGTCCCGGCCCGCGGGGTGTCTCGGCCCTCACCGCTGGTGCCGCTCCCTCTGCGCTCGCAGGGCCGCGCTGTAGGCCCAGCTGCCTCCGAGCGCTTCCGCCCGGGCACGCGCCGCTTCCGGCCCCGCCCCGCCGCGCTCCCGGCATGCCGCGCGAGCAGAGCGGTGCATGCTGGGGCGCGTAGTTCCTGGAGGGGGTCGGGGTCGGCTCGCCATGTCGGGGCCTGGGGGTGCTGTTCGACAGCGGCTGAACGTGAACCGGCCTGTGCCCAGGCAGCCGGGAATGCCAGTGACATTCTGGCCTGTATCAAGAGTAGTGTGTCCACCAGGACCAGGGCAGTGATGGTCCCGCTGTACTCGGCATGGGTGAGGCCACACTTCGAGTGCTGTGTCCTGTTCTGGGCCCCTCCTTTCACAAAAGACATTGTGTTGCTGGAGCGAGTCCAGAGAAGGGCAACGAAGCTGGTGAAGGGTCTGGAGCACAAGTCTTATGAGGAGCGTCTGAAGTAGTTTAGCCTGGAGAAAAGGAGGCTCGGGGGTGGCCTTGTCACTCTCTACAACTACCTGAAAGGATGCTGTAGCCAAGTGGGGGTTGGTCCCTTCTCCCCAGTCACAAGCAATAGGACAATAAGAAACAGCCTCAAGTTGCACCAGGGGAGGCTTAGATTGAATATTAGGAATAATTTCTCCACAGAAAGGGTGATTAGACGTTGGAATGGGCTGTCCAGGGAGTCCCTGGAGGTGTTTAAGAAGAGACTGGATGTGGCATTTAGTGCCATGGTCTAGTAAACAGTCTGGTGTTGAGTCATAGGTTAGACTCGATCTCAGAGGTCTTTTCCAACCTGATTTATCCTGGGATTCCGGCGATGCTTATGCGGGGCCTGGCGGGGTCGCCGCGGAGCCGGGCGGGCCCTTCCTGCGGCCGGAACCAAAGCGCATCGGGGCGGCGGCGCGACGGGGTTGCCGGTGCGGCACCGCTACGCGCTGTGCCGGTGCGGCCGCGGCCCCACCATGTTACCGCTGCTGCTGCTGCGGAGGGCCGCCACCGCCGCCGCTGCCCCCGCCGCTTGCCGCCGGGCGTCCACATGGCTCCGGGGCGCCGCGCACCGCGGGCTCCCGGCCGCCTGCCGCTGCCGGGCCACCCTGCCCGCCGCCGGGCCCCAGCAGGTTGTGCGTAATGTGGGGACGAGGGGAGGAGCGGGGCCCTGGGGTTTGCGGCTTTGTCCTTACGGAAAGTGCGGGTCTGAGCAGGGAAACGAGGTGGCACTCGGGACGTACCTGAGATCAGCCCCTCTGTTGTGCTCTGGTGAGACTCACCTGGAGCGCTGCGTCTAGCTCTGGGATCCCCAACACAGGAAGGACATGGACCTGCTGGAGCCAGTCCTCCCGAGGGCCACCAAGATGATCAGAGGGATGGAGCACCTCTCCTATTAGGAAAGACTGGGAGAATTGGGTTTGTACAGCATGAAAAAGAGCAGGCTGAGGGGTGCCCTAATTGCGGCCTTTCAGTACCTGAAGGGAGCCTACAGGAAAGATGGAGAGGGACTTTTTACAAGGACATGTAGTGACAGGACAAGGGACGATGAGTTCAAACTGAAAGAGGGTAGGTTTAGATTAGATATTAGGAAGAAATTCTTTTCTATGAGGATGGTGAGGCACTGGAACAGGTTACCCAGAGAAGTTGTGGATGCCCCATCCCTGGAGGTGTTCAAGACCAGGTTGAATAGAGGTTTAGCAACCTGGTCTAGTGGAAAGTGTCCCTGCCCATGGCAGGAGGCTTGGAGCTAGATGATCTTTAGGGTCCCTTCCAACCCAAACCATTCCATGATTCCATGATCAGAGACCTAGTGAGTGTGGGCGCCGTGAATATCTCCCTGCAAAGCCATGTGTAAGTTGATTGCAGGCTGAGTTTTTGGCATTGGGGTTGCATACATTTAGTGCTAACTTGGAATATTTACATGGAAGATTATTAAAACAGTTGGGGTTTGTGGGATGCTTTGTAGTGTAACCCAACTTTAATCCCTAGTCTAAGATGCTGGGAATGGGTTCAGGGCAAGGAGAAACCTTGTATGTGTATATATACACGTATACAGACATATGTATGTGTATATAGAGATAGGTGGATATAAAGTGTAGTACTGATGTTGCTTGGCCATGTACTGCTTTCATTTTCCAGGTTACATCTTTTCAAGGAGTGGCTGTTCGCAGCCTCAGCACATCCTCCCCTCATGAACACCCAGAACACGGAAGATTAGTTTATAAAGGAAATTTGGCAAAGACAGTGTTAGGTATGTGACTTAAAGTGCTATGTATTGCCTTTATTTTGTTTGTTTTGACCGCGTTTGGTAACTGCCTGTGAAGTAAGAACTTCATAGTTGTGCGTAACAGGTGGTAGTGACTGCATCAGAAATAGAGCCAGCGACCAGCTTTGATAAACCCATCATGAATACTCTGTGAAACGTGAACATATAAACAAATCAGAATGGTAACAGTGAGACAGGGCTGAGCTTTCAAGAGTTTCTCTGTGAGCTTAAAAAAAAGGGAAGGGGGTTTTCAGTAACTTCATCTGTTCAAGTGATGCCATTGTTATATGGTAGCAGACCATATATAATTGTAGAGAAGATTGTCCTCATAAGTGTTAACCTTTGTTTTCTTTTTGTTCTGTTTTTATGTAGGTGTGAGGTTTTTCTCTTACTCCACCAGCATATTCAACCTGTTCATGATGCCCTACATCATGCTCAAAAGTGGTATTGGAGTGGAAAGTCTGCTTATGCAAGCTGCCTTTTATGGGGTGATCGGGTTTTTTACGTTTGTGACTCCGGTAACTTTGCATGTCCTTACAAAAGGTTACGTGATCCGACTCTATTACAAAGATGAAAAGGACACCTATACAGCCATTACGTACAATGCTATCTTGGCAGAAAAAGCGACTGTTTTCCATCAGAAAGATGTAAAGATTCCAGACATCACCAAGATGTTTACAACATTTTATGCTAAAACAAAATCAATGCTTGTTAATCCAACGCTTTTTCCAAATCCTCAGGACTATAACCATCTCATGGGCTATGACAAATCCCCGCTTTTTAAGTTAGAGGAGTTAAAGGAAGCTGATGAAAGGAAATAATTTGAAGATAATGAATGTCAGTGTCATTGTTCTTAATGCAGTGCTGTGTATGTAAAAGAATGTAAAATTCTATTACACTTTCTTAAGTCAGGTAGCTGGAGTTTTCCAAATGCATTTTGGAATGTATTAAAAAGACTCTTTTTTTTTAATATTATGAACAATGTGACGGTTTCTTCAGAGTTAATGGCATAAAATATAGTAAAAAAAGGTGCTTAGATCTGTCTTGCACTTATTTATTCTTGGCTTGATTTTTATTGTTAGCTCTCCAGAGAACTGTAAAATGCATGGGCTGTGTGGCATTCTCACCAGCTCCGTGTCAAAGGAAACCATTTGTAAGAGAAAAATGATCAATAGTCATTACCTATGAAGTATGTAAAATCTAAAATCATCAGGCTTTTTTGTCAATGCTGTTGGTGGTGTAAAGGGAGTGGAGATGGCTTTTCCTTCCCTTTGTGAGACCATGGGAGGAGTCTTTGGAAAGCAGACAGGTATTGCTAATTCCTGCTACAGCCTCCTCCTGGAGGAGAGAAGATAGGGAGAATGGCTGCATCACAGTAATCTCTGGGTACTCACAGCTACTAAATGGTTTCTTAAGGTGGAGTCCCACTCCGAGCAACCCTGTCCCCAGAGGTGGAGAGCAAGAAGCCTCTCTTTGGTTGAGCTGGGGAAAGCACCTTGGCATAAGGTTTGCTCCGGGAATATCCCATCGAGAACAGGTGCTGTGTTTGAACTGACTCAAAGAAAATTCTGGCAGCTAGTGGTTAAATTGGATTCTGTCAGCTTTTATGTAAGGTGGGGAAGCAAAATAGAGTATCCTGTAGAATACTGTTTAGATCTTGTGCCTTTAAAAAACATACCTCTTGATTTTCAGTACTGCAAAGAAAGCCACCTCTAGTTCAACTGAACAGAGGATCAGATCTTTTTGTGTGACTAGACTGGTTCTGCATGCCTGAGATGCAGAAGCTGGATTTAAATATTTTAGCCCAAGGCACATAAACTGACAGATACTTGTTTTCAAATAATGAAGGGCCTAAATATTTTGAGACTTAAAAATTACTGAATAAAAAAAAACCCCAAGAATTCAAATTAATCCTTTTGTTTTAGCAGTGCCTTTTGTAATAAGTAAATCTGATGTTTGCTACTAATTAAGGTATCTTGATACTGCAAACAAAGAGAAAGGTATTATAGTTACCATTCAAGATGTTCTCTAAGTTCTAGCTGAAAATATATATTTAAAAGTCTAAATGTCTTCCAATGCTATTATTTCAATTTCATGTTGTAGGGTGACACTACAGATGACATTAAACCACTGGTTTTGAATGTTGTTTTTCTGACTGTTGAAATTGCCCTCAATGTACTTGCTGAGTGATAAAAAAGCAAATCATCCCATCCCAATGTTTTTGAGGCAGTTCTTTGTGTTGACACAGCTATAATTGTAAAAGCCTGATTGAGTCCCATTAAGCCAGTATCACTTCACGAGTAGCAATAATATAAAAATCAAATTTTCATAAATTACATGGAACCTGTGAGGTCAGTAACAAGCAATTCTGATCACCTGATTGTACTACTTATGGAAATGATGCTTTGCATCTAATTAAAAGTACTCTTTCCATGTCTGATGCATTCACTCGCTTCTTTTGGTGCTTGCATTGAAAGATGAAGTCAACTTTCAGTGCCGAATACAGGGAGAACAGGAAACAGCGTTTGCAGGAGAAGGTAAAAGAAAGGCCCCAAAATTGTATTTAGGTACCCCTTAGGCAATATCTTCTGACCAAAGAAAGTTTTAATTGTTAAATTTGAGGTTTGTCCAATTCAGATTTAAGCAGCAATAGTAAGATATCTCCATTCCACTGGCTAAGTTTCTCAAAAAAAGTATGGAAGATAAATATTATTTCTTCTGCTTGTGTTCTGGCAGTGAAATGTAAGTTAAGCTAGTAGGTGGCTTTCCGACACACAGATGATTAAAATAATATTAAGAAGTCCAGAATTCTGCCAGAAGATAAATTATATAGTCTCAGAAAAATACTTTATACTTCCTAAGTGCAACGTGAAAATAATAGAATAGTACTTGTATGTTAAGAAAAGAGAAGACCGAGCTTACTGAAGATACACAGTATTCTATCTGCTTCTACCTTGTTTGCTGCTACACTTAGGGTGTGTACTCAGAATCATAGAATCATTTATGTTGGAAAAGACCTTTAAAATCATCAAGTCCAACTGTTAACCCAGCGCAGCCAATTCCACCACTAAACCATGTCCCTAAGTCCCACATCTACATGGCTTGATACATCCAGGGATAGTGACTCAATCTTGTTCAATGCTTGACAACCCTTTCAGTGCAGAAAGTTTTCATATTGCCTAATCTAAACCTGCCCTGGTGCACCTTCAGGTTGTTTCCCCTTGTCCTGACACTTACGACTTGGGAGAAGGGACCGACCTTCACCTGCCTGCAGCCTCATCTCAGGCAGTTGTAGAAGGCTATAAGGTCCCCCCTGAGCCTCCTTTTCTCCAGACTTAACAATCCCAGCTCCCTCAGGCTCCCCCGGTGCTCCAAACTGTTCACTAGCTTTTTGCCCTTTGTTGCGGAAGTATTACTATCTACTAGCATTTTCATCCCTGGAAGTCACTGATATTTCTTTGGGTGTAGGTAACTTGTGTACAATATGGAAGAAACAGTTTATAAGATCTAGAGAATGTGCTCATCGTGAAGTTTCTGAAGGAAGTACTGATGGAAGCCTGGTTTTCTGAAATACCTGATTTACAAACTGTCTTATTTGCAAGACAACACCTATGAGGAAGGCTGCCAGCTCCTGCAGCCTTTCCAGGACCAATCAATTACTTGTCTATAGCAGCTGGGTCTTGCATCTTACCCTGGTACCAGTTTCACTTAATCTGGTGTAAAGAGCAAGAACGTATGAAATAAGCCTCTTTCCTAGACACGTTTCCTATTGCCTTCCAGCCTTAAAATATTCCACAAAAGTGGAATAATGACTGATTTTTTTTTTCCCTGGAAAAACAGTCACGATATATGCAAATTTTTCTTTTCAGTCTTTGACTACGTGCTATTTTCTTGCTAGTAGCCCTCTCCCTTTTTCCCAAGTTTTTGACTTTGTCCACATTATTATTCATTAGTCCCTATCTGTTCTTAATTATGAAGTACAAAGCTTCTTGCCATTCTTTAAAGTTATTTTTTAAATTGAATTATCCCACAACCCTCATCCTTTTCTTGCAAATGTAAAAAATTTTGATGAGAAAATTATCCCTTTTTGATCCTTCAAAGAGAAATCTTTAAAGCTCTGAGGTACTTCACACTCCTAATCACACTCTGAAAAATTAAAAGGTAACTAATTTGACTGGAGCTCACTTTATTACAAACCACAGTCATCACATTGGCAAAGATGAGGAAAAAAATCAGTAGATTTTCACATGGCACCATGAGGGCCTAATTTAGGTGATGGAAACTTCGTGAAAATCTCTTTGTGCTGTTAAAATTAAGAGCAGACGCGAATTATTACAATTGCTCAGTATAACTTAATAGATGGAAACTTGGTAAGCTGCTGTAATTTGGTTGCTCTGAAGTTCTGTGGTCATACCACAAATTTCTTCATGCTTCATACCATGGATTTCTTCATGCCCCCACGTACAGCACAGCCTGCTGCAGCCCGCCTGAGAACTGGGACAAGTGTGCTAGCTAGGAGTTGGATCCACTGTAATAAGATTATCCAAGAGCTATACAGACCTCAGCAAGCAGCTATTTTAAGCAGGGAATAACAGAGAACAAGAGCAAACAGCCGCAAAATATGTCCAGCTGTCTCCATTTCTGGAATTCCAGGGTGGACAGTGTTGCTGTGGTGTGCTTACTGTTAGCCTCAGGTAGGACACATCCCTTTCTTCTCCCTTCACCCTCTGCTTTCTCTTCTTTTTGACAACTTTAATAGTTTAATGAATATTTTAGAGTATAACTATAAGCTTTAATCCTAAACTTGGCTTGGGAAACACAAACCATAAGCCTACTGGCAAGAGGCAGTGAGTTATTTCCAACATAATTGTTTCCACAGGATACCACCTGGTATGTATTTGCTCCACTTTAATAGTCTCCAGTGGTTTAATGTGATATATTCAAATCAAACCACTAAGCCAAAGTGCATACAACACTTAAAAAAATATATTCAGAATAATGCACAGCACTTCTTCTATCTTTCAACAACTACTTGATTTCTTATTCAAGTGCTACCAACTCACCACTAGATATGTGCTAGTGCACTGCTCTTGGAGAGGACTCTCCTGGCTCTCTCAAGCACTTCATCAGCTGCATGTAGAGGAGATGAAACCTCTACCCCTTTCTTTTATTCTTGGGCATGACTTTCTCCTTCCACTATAGACATTGTAAAAGATGGGTTGAGAGGATCTGAGAAGAGAGTCTACAGTTTTCTATTCTTTATGTTGATAGTTGAGTGTGGTTTTGTTCTGTGAATGCATGCCTTATGCCTTACATTGGAGTGCCTTCAGCATCAACCTAAAGCCAGAATCAGAATAAACGTGTCTGCTTCCAGATGCAAAAAGATCTTCAAAAACTTTCACAAATAGTCCTGCAAGGAAAACTAAGTTATTATTGCCTCTTTCTTTATTGAATAAATGTGATTAACATCTTAAAAGAGTTTTCCATTAAAGTGATATTTTGTTACAAGCCAAGAACTAGGACATAATCTTTAAGTCTGTCTGACTAACACATGGAGATGGAGTACTTTCCTCTGCTATACTGGTGCACTGTTATTTATTTTTCTGGGATGGGTTATTATGATCATATATATTATAAATCTTTCCTGAGGGAGATTTCAGTGACTTATAAGAGTTTATCTGGTCAAACTACTCATCTGCAGTCAACAATACAAATATGAAGTGATTATTTTGAAAAGCAATAACAAGTAAGTTAAGTACTTTTTAAATGTATCGAGAAAGAAGATAAAAGTATCATGAATTAGTTTAAGGATTTTAACCAAAAATCAGTGAGAAGGCTTGTAATAAACTTCTACTTTCAGCATCTCTACATCTGAGATATTAAAAGTCATTGTTATGAAGTCCTAAATTCTCTAGACTTGGATTTTATGTACTGTTAATTGGATATCAGAGTTGGTCCCTACTGAATATTCTTGTTAAGGATTTTAAAATAACTGAAGTAAATTGTCACAAAACTTTAGTGAAATAACATTATTGTGTAGCTCTTTCCACTTCCCTTTCTCTCCTTTTCACCTTCCTTTTGGATCAGTGTATGTAAGAAAAAGATTACAGTAAAGAAAGAGGTTTTAATAAAATTAAAATATGTAGAACTTTATATCCTTCTCCTGTAACCTTCATATTGACTTGAAAGGGACAGAACAGACTCTTCACACCACAGTGCACTAGTTCGGGGCTTTAGTGAGCATCACAAAAGGTCACTTCTATGAAGAGCATCAATAGGGGACATCAAAAACCACAAGCATCTAAAACTGAATTTGGTGAAAAGATTTAAAAATTATTAAAGTTATTTTGATTTAATGACAATTTGACCAGACACAATGGTCAAGGTTTTTGGCTTTATAATCATGATCATCAGTGATATTTTAGCCCTGATACCAGTAGCGATTATTGCTCCTGTCTTCCCATTTGGACAGCCAGATCCTTTTAAAATGTAGCTTCCTTAGCTGATTTTTTTAAGCATTGTAATAGTCTGGACTTGTACAATAGAAGTGAAATAAGAAAGGAGTAGAAGAGGGTACAGAGGTTTCCCCATGTGTCTGTCTATCCGAACCACCAGGGGGGACTAATTCCTCATCTATATCTTTACTGCAGCAAGTGTCTGAAAAAAACACCTATGCTTGAACCAGGTCTAGAAAGTCACTGAATTCAGCAGAGAGGTTGTCTTCGTTTATATTAAGAGAGCTTTTATCTAAAATCTTGTAAATTTGCAGTGCTCTTTCCAGTCTGTGCAGCAATGCCAGCACAAGTCTGGCCACAGAGGGACGCACGTTCAGCTGTGTAATCGTGTCTATCAGTAGGGTACAGTCAGTGCCATCTCATGACTTCTTCAGACTGGCCTGTGACTTGTGCTAAATCTACTGGACCGACAGAAGACTCAGCAGAGAGTCTGGCTTGGCTTCTTACTGCTTAAACTCACTCCATACCAGTGACCATGGCTTTGTAATTGAAAGGAATATTTTTTGGACTGTACGTGCACAAGGCATCTCTTCTTTAGCGGTTGCTTAATCACTCCTTTGTGGCTGCCTCACTACTCCATTTCTTTTTTCCAACTATTACAGCCTTCCTGATTTATTTCAATTTCACTGCATATTTTACTATTTTTAAGCAAGATTTGGCCATCTTGAAACAAAACTGTGTTATTTCTATGATCACAAAGGGTTGATATGTTTTATAGTATCCTGTTAAACAACAACAAAAATCTGTGTGTGAAGTATGTACTCTGGAGATCTGTCAGGAAAGTTGTATAATTTTGAATTTCTACTTAAAAGCCGAATGCTAGAAGTTTCTTTAAATTTTGAACTCTGTCAGACCAGTGGGATTCTTCTTGTGGTCTATAGAAAGATTTGGAAATACTGAGGAGAATTCTCTAGCCACATTAATTTTTCAATTTTTTATTTTGTGAATTATTACATGTGTGAACTCATTAGTTGGTGCTTTCAGGCACTTGTAATTGAATTCTTACCTTCCTTAACTAGTCTGGGAACTCTCCCCATCTTCTGGGCACAATCAGTCACGGTTTTGTACATGTCATTATTCTGAAATTATCTTTTGTGTTACATGCTCAGACTTCTTAAAATCAATTTCCTAATATTTTACTATTTTACCTTTTTAATATGTAAAATATTACTCTGGTATACACAGAATTTGTGAGAATAAAAGCTTTTAGACACTGTGATGGGAAGTGGGAAGAGTCAGAACAAGTGATTAAGTTATATTTGTTGTAATTTTTATTGAGTTTCCTGCTTAACACAAACTCAAATACCTGTGTATTTTATATACCGCTCCTTTTTTAAAAAAAAACAAACCTAGACAATTCCTGATCTAAGAGGAGCCTGCAGATATACATACAAATCAAAAAAGGTAGCTTGTGAGAAATAATTTAATTTCTGTAAGTCATTCTCCCATAAATTCAGTAGGTTTCTATATTTTATTATAGTGAGAAAGAAAATTTAATTGTTTCCTGTCGGTTAGATGGTGATTGTGCTCTCTTGATGAGGTATTAGCCTTTATTTGATCTGTTTCTGTAGCTGGGACTAGCAGTATTGCCAGGTTTGTGCAGTAAGTGCTGACCCAGTTTGGTCAACATAATTGATATAACAGATACAGGCAAAATATGTTATTCTTTGTGTAATGCACTAACAGACAGAAATAAGAGGAGGTATCTGAAGTGCTTTAAGAGTTTTTGTTTCGGTGTCTCAAACTTGAGTATCAAAATCTGCAACCTGGAACGTTTTCAGCATCCCAGGATAAAATCAGGTTGTAACCTATCTTCAGTTGTGACAGGTAGATTCTGTGTTCTTATTTGAAACATCCCAATCAAAATTTGACTGCTTTTGTTAGTAATTGACTAATATTCGGGGTCCACCTCAACCCAGCCTTTGCATGACTCTGTGCTCTTGGGCAAACCATACAGTGCTGCTTCTCCAAGAGAGACTGTGGGGAAGTCTGGGAGAAGGTTGCAGAGAGACTCTGGTAGGCAGATGTGGGAATTATCAGTTGTAATTTTATGGATTTTTAAGTTTTCTCTCCCTAAGAAAAATAACTGTGATAGATACAGCTTTGAAGGTGGTAGCTGTCATGCAGGACATCAGTGGTTCTACTCAATAACATGTCAGATAGTTGTGTTCAGCTCCATTTGGAAATACATCATCTAATTACACTCCTCCAAATTTCTAGTATGTTCTTAAAGCACGGTGAGCTTTGTGAGAAATTATTATGAAAGCTTGTGAGAGTTACTGACTACATATTGGTAAAAGAGTGATCTTGGTTTTCATCAATTTTTCTTTTCTTTAATAGGGACAGGAAACTCTGTGTTTGAATTTATGCCTTTAAAAATGTTACACCTGATGAGTCAACTATACTTTCCCTTTACATACTTCTGGTAATCATGTTTTTACTTCCGTTCCCCATTTCACACAATTTTCTCTTTCACTTTTCACCCGTGGCCTGAGCTGGGGAAAACATAGCAACAAAAGCAGAAATTCTTTTTCTTCACAGAATTTATTGTGATGATAACTGATGGTGCTGCAGTAGGATTAATTAAGATTGCAGAGAATTTGAAAAAATAACTGAACTTTCCCTGAAGACATGTGACTGAGGATGACTGTGCTGAATTTTGTTCCTCTTTCCTCAAAACATTTCTGTTAGATACTGAGCAAAAAAAGTAATTATGTTCGGACTTATTTTTTTCACTTTATTCACCTCTGGAGTCAGTGAATTTCTTTGTATGTCATCAGATCTTGAAATGTCGTATACTTTTTGTGGTAAGTAGAATATAGGTAATTGTTTTTCTAAGTTTGCATGATAATTACTGTAGACTGAGGAAATGCAAATTTTCTTTCAAATTTCCTTCTTTGATGGATACAGAAAAATATACAAAAAAGTTTAGCTGAAGTCTATTTCTGTTGTTAATTACCATATAACAAGAATTATACTTCATAGGCATAAATATTACCACAATGCTGGTTCTAGCAGCTAAGACAGAGAATTTTATCCTCAAGTAAAGCAGGCATATTTTGCTTCAGGAAATAATGGAAGATAAGGATTTTAAACTTATTTTGCAATTACTCTATTGTATAAATTATGCAAATTGAGTTAACAAATATATTACAATTAAAAGATTGAATTATACATAAAAGAAGAGGGAATGTGATATTCTGCTTTGCTGAGGTATCAGGTTTCGGGACAGCATAGTGTGTACCTTCTTGCCATGTCTGTGTCATGGGCTGATATTTTGCATATTCTGAAAATGCTAGGTGGGTCACTTATAGAGCAAATCTACTCAAAGCTTCATTTACCTTATCCTAGAAAATATGCTGGTACATTAAAAACATTTTTAGCTATTGTCAGCAGGTTTATATGGGTTCCATGGTTAGCATAAGTTGGGATATTTTCAGCAGAGGACCATACTGGCTTAATGCTACTGAAGATTTTGTGTATCTTCAAAAGACAAATAAAGGCACTTTTGCCTTGTTTTTTGTGTGCAAAATATCATCAACCAAGAAATTGAGTTTTCTTGTTACTTACAGAGATACTATTTTGGTTTTGCCCTCTAAGCATATAAATAATGAATAATAACATTTAAAATACATGTTTAGTATTTACTACAAATATTAGACAATTTTATATATTGTCTAATATTTTTAATATTATCTAAGACATATATATTGTATATAACATATTAAATGCATTTTAAAATGTGTGTTTATTGTGAGTGGGTAAATACATATATTTTTATTATTTTCATGGAGAAGCCTATTCACACTATCAATTTGAAATATTGTTTTCCTATAGATTCTACAGCTCATGCTTTCATGTTTAATTTGACACCTTGCAGCGTCATGAAAACAGACATCTGGAAGGCTACTCTTAACTGGATTCCAAGTGAGTCTTTCTTAACTAGACAATTATAATCTGGAAATGCAGAAAATCAAGTACAAGTGGAAAGCTGGCATTTCATCCAAAATGCCAGATGATTTAGGAAATCAGTTTCTGTGACTGAAAATGGAATGAATAAACTTGGATAATGATGGACAGAAGTTATGATCTATGAAAATAAGTGTATTTGAGTTTTACTTGTTGGAGCAGTTCCCAGAGCCCTGTACAGGGTCTGGCACTATGTGTGCAAATCTGAGATGGTTTGGGTGCATTTGTCTGGGAGAAGCAGACAAGGTTTGCCTCACACAAGCTCTTCCGGCCTGAAGAAGTCCCAAGTCTTTTTAAGGAGAGAGAATATCATTAGGCCATCCAAGTATGGCAGAACTTCTGTGAAGAATATGTGTGTTCCAGAGGCTGGAAATGGTACTAGATTGTGTGTTTGAACCCAACTGTAATCTTTAAACCCAGCTTTAAGCTGGCAAGCTGAGTTAATGAAATCTTTATGAAATGATTGTATCAAAAACTTTACCTTCTGAATATAAACTCTGGGGGTGGACTAGGTTTGCTTCCCTAGAAAGATACCTTTATGATGGCTATCAGCATTCAGGACATGCAACATGTGCCTAAAACTAAAGCCTTCATCTGAGCATGTGTTTAATTTAGCTGTGCTGTTATCTTTGCTGAAGAAATTAAAACAGATTTTGAAATTAGTCACTCAAATATTTTTCAGATTTTTTTCTTAGAAAATTATCTCTTTTTGGTTTTTTGTTTTTTTGGTTTTTTTTTCCTGAATGTAACAGTTTTCAAGATACATATTTTTGCCAGTTTTAGGGGGAGTCTTTAAAAAATATTGTATTTCAGAGGAAACTATTTTTTATCTAAGTAGCATGTCTGCATATATGTTTTTTCTCCCTGCCAGATACCATGTCCTTACTTGCAATGTTTTAATTAGGAAGTGACATCACCTTTTTGAAGATTGTCTTCCATGTCTGGTATGACGGTGCTAAAGTGTTTCACCTGAAACAGCTCCTGTGCAGTGGAACTGACGATGAATACTCAGTGTGTGAAATGCTGAAAGGAGGTTGGTGTGCCATCAACCCATGCAAACAGATTTTTCTCTCCACAATCTAGGCCTTGCTTGGCAGGCAGCAGACTTCAGAGCATCCAGTTCTCCAGTGCCAAAACCCCATTAAAAGAGAGAATGTCCAAAGTCTATGTTTTAACATCCTTGTACTGCAGTTTCCGTCTCCATAAATGATAATTACTAATATCCTTCATCTCAGTATGACACTTATTATTAACATTTCTAAAATGACATGGAAAGACGACATTTGACTGGACTGTACAGAAAACTTGAGAGGGACTATTGGTACTACTAATATCCAGAACACAGTTTATTTAGGGTTTTTTAAGAAATTCTCTCCACCGAGTTATAATACTTTTTCTAATAGAGAAGAGTCAATCCTCTGGTAGGGGCTACCCAGCATAAATATGACACAGGCTCAGATCCAGAGAATTCAGGCAGGATGTCAGACTTAAGGCTAAGGAGCCTGTGAGGAGGTCAAAATACTCAGTCTATGTTTTTCTTTCTTTAAAAATCTATATCAGTTCTCTTCAGAGTTAACACAGTAAGATGTGTTTGGAGGAGATGTTGGAGGAGCACTGTGGTTAATTTCTATTTTCTAATGTTATTTTGACAAATAGTCAGAGCTCTGAGAGAAGAACCAGGTGAGTGCTTTGTCAGTGGAAGAGTAAATGACATTGGCAACTGCTGCTGAGAGATATACCATATTGCTTTGAAGTTATTTAGGCAGTCTGATTGATGACTTTATGGTTAAGTAACCATTTGTATTATAATTATCTCTGTTTTACAGAAACACTTGTAGAAGAATTTGACATTAAAGGTTTAAGAACATCATTTCTAAAGGTACTTTCTGACATTTTATATAAAGAAATAATAATAGTAAAATTACATACTTACATGTGTATATTTTCTGAAAAGAGACATTCACCCAAACTGTAGAAAACAGAAGAGGAAATGTCAGAACACTTTCTCATGATTGAAGTGATGAGTCTAAAATGGTAGCATCCTTGAAATGCTGGATGTCCTCAGGTTATTATTTCTCTATTATTCCTCCTTTATTTTATAGAAGAAAAGACCAAAGAAATCAGTTAATGTCACCTTAATAATTCCATTTTAGTTGGTAAATTGTGTTTCCTTTTACCTGTTTGAGTAAATCCATTCATATTTTTCTACCCATTTTGTTTTTTTTTTTTACATTCTCTTCACATGCTGGTCTGTTGCTCCCTGAAACCATTTTCAAAGATTTGAAAAGGGATAACAATATCCAAAAGTAAAAGCAGTGCTCCAGCATTAAACCAAGAGCAGCACCAGTCATCAGGTTGACCCACTCTCTTACAACACCTGCTCCATCAGCTGTCTGAGCCTTTCCAAACCCTTATCATCCCTATTAATCCCTACAAATGTCACTAAGGAGCTCCTACTGATACAAAATCTCCAACCTCCTCTTATCCCAAAGCCCATGGGCCTCTAACAGTGTTGGACTCCATCCAGCCCAACACGTCTGGTAACCCCAGAGCTGGTAGTGGAGAGGAACATGCCCTGCCATGAGCAGTCCTCCAATAGATGAAGTGATTGTGGCAGACCTGACACTTCCCCATAGGACTCTGCTAGACCAGAGACTGCTGTTCCTGTGTACTCTGGTCATGAGAAGAAAGTTGAGGACTAATTTTTTTATATATACTCATATATCTGACTATACTCATGAGAACAGTCCATGATGGGAATGTCTTTTTCAGTCCTAACAGAAAGCACCAGAACCATTCCAAGAAGCTGCTTAGACAAGAGTGGGCAACATTATTCACTAATTTTCTTGGTTTTTTCTTACTTGCTTTAGGGCAATTATAATATTATTATACAAGGATTCTCTGATGATTCTGAGAATAATATGGTCATATGCTTGAATTTCACCATGATAATAAAACAAGATGTTTACTGAGTGCGACAAACTTTTCAAATAATTCAAGAACACTGAGATCACTTCTGCAAGCAACCGGAATCCAAGCTGCGAAGTAATAAGCAAACTAGATTTCCTGAGGTAGAATACATCTTGTGCTGTCTGGAAAGCTATATGATATATAATCTTACTTGTTTATAGAACTGCTGTAATCAGGTGCTCAGCCAATGTGCACAAAATCTCCAGGTATCAGGCATTCTAATTAATCCACAGAATAACCCTGACTGGATGTCAGGCTGAGGACTGCATTTTGGTGCTGTGCCTTGAGTTATGATAAAGTCAAGTTCTTCAGACTGAGCTAAACTAATCATGAAGTTTGGAAGTTTTGAAGTACAAGAATCAGTTCATCAGTACTCAATTTAAAACACAGCAATTGAATTTTGGAACCCTACCATAAGTTGTTGGCTTTTTTCCTTTTAACAATAAAACTTGTTTGTATAATCAATTTGAGAAATGTTTTTTATTCTCCTGTTTTCTGATTAACTTTGGATGTTTCCTAATGTGCTGCTCTTTTTATACCAAGCTAAAACAGAGGAGTAACAATTTGTTATGCGGTTCTAGCTGATGTGAATAACATCCTAAGTGGAATGTTTCCAGTTACACTGATACATTACAGCTGAGTTTAGCCATCCAGAGTCCTGAACTACAACCTCATAGAATGTTTTTAGCTCTAACTCAGAGTCTAAGGGGCAGAGGCTATATGAGCTGTTTCCTTCAGATGCAGTAGGATGGTGTCACCCAACAAATTGATCTGTTCCTCATTTATTCCTCAAAAGCATGTCTAAAGCTTTTACTGTGGCTTTTGCCCCTTGGGAAGCCCAACACTGAGTATCCACCTGCCCTCTCTGCTGCACCTCCACACCTAAGACCTTGGGTAAGACTTTGATGGAGTATGAGATTTGGTTCTCAGGAATAATGCTGTCCTCTTCATCCTCAGCCCCCAGCCAGTGGTTGCTTAGTGGGCTCAGAGACTTTTCCCCAACTGATAGGACGTTGTTGAAGTTGCACTTCGTGCTGGCTGCTAGTTCGTGCTGTGTGTAGCAGATTGCTTCCAAGTGCCTAAAAAAAATTAAAAACCAGAACAAACCAACACTCTTTCAGTCCACTAAATATCAAGCATAAAAATTAGCAGAAGTGAAGCTTTTAATCTCACTTTACACATAAGGAAAGATGTTTTTCAAATTTGGTATGAGAAAACTCAACAAAAAATGCCCACACCCAAGTATGCAGATACTCCATTTAAAACTTGGGTTTAGTATAGCTAGTTTGGCTAAATAAAGCAAAATCATCAAGAGTCTATAAAAATAGAAGTAGAATTTCATCTTGACTGGAAACAAGAAGCTGTGATTACATCCAAGTGGTGATGGCAAAGCATCTGTTCTTGCCTTCAATCCACAGACCATTGCAGGAGTAGTCCATGATGGAGTACCATAGCAGCTTCTGCTTGTATTTGAGCTAATTTACTAGAGTTGTGATAAATTTTTTCTTAATCTGAAATATCATTTAAAAAGCAGCCAGAGAGCATGATAAGCAATACCTACTTTTCTTCTTTTTGAAATAGTATTACTGGTTATGCAGCAATCTTATCTTATGATGTCCCTGTGTACACATCTCACATCATTCAGCAACCACCAGGGGAAGTCTCAAAACCATTTTTAATGACAAGTAATCTGAAATTTTTGCTGGCCTGAATTATTCGGGATATTAGAAGAAATGCTTTGTTTATTAAGCAGCAAAGTACCACAGGTGGGAGAGACTAACAGCTCCTGAAGAGCAAAGACATCACATACTCTTATGGATACTACAGAAAATTTACAGTGTATGTAAAAGTATAAATAGAACTTCTGTCTCTAAATGGAGACATTTACAGATAAACATTAAGTATTCAGTATCTTTCATAGCAGACTTTTATAGTGTAGATCTTCAGCTGAAGGATTATGATTGCACATGCCAGCAGATAGGATTGCAAGGCAAAGCACAGGAGCCACACTTTATAAAGCAAAGACCTTTCAAAAGTCCCAAGGTTTCTCTTGTGTATGACCAAAGTATCCACTTATTGCAGCACTGGTGGCTGCTGCACCACATTCCTCCGTGGATAAGAGGAGACAGATTTTGGAAGATGTGAGATCACCCAAAGAGCTTACCCTAAAATCACCGTGATATTGTAAGGGTGACGGGCAGAGCTGAAGGCAGAACTTTTCTCTGCATGTCTGGTTCCCAGGACAGAGCTGTGAGAAGGCTTTCCTTCCTCCCTTCTGCTGTTGTCCAGAGTTGACAACAGTTATCACTTAATTTTCCTCTCCAAAATTTCCTGAGCCCATACTCAGGGCTCTACAGCAGAGAGGACTCTATTTAGGATGAGGTGAATTACTCAGACCCTGTAAAGACTAATCTGAATGTTTCCCTTTTTTTCACTTTATTGGCTAGTAAACTTTGATTCATTTTTTCTTCTTCTTTTTCTGCCTCTGTCCAGAGTTGGAATGACGTGAATGCTGTGAAGTAAAACATTAAGTGAGTATTTATTTCTTAAAATATTCAGTGAGACCTACGTGCCTTGAGATTTCTGTTTTGCCAGGAGTTCCAGGGAGCAGTGCAAAGACCCTCCCATGCAAACTGAAGTAAATCAAAGAAGGCCTTATATTTGACATACTTGTGTGAAACTAATATCTAAAGCCTTCACAAATATCTCTTTTTTGTCTCCCTCATTACTGTTGTTTTTAAGCAGCTGTCAGGATTTGCTGCAGATGGGAAAATAGCTTTTCTTCACCCCCTCACCCTCTGTCGCCAAATATGTAATTATCAGAAGAAGCAGTTCCTGTACAATGTGGTTTCCAACAACAATGCACACTTTTTGAGCTGTTATTACAGTTTCATTTGATAAAAGCAGTAAAGCATACATAATTTCAGATCAGAGAAATCCTGCTGACCGCAATAATGTGTACATTTGATGATTGAAATTGTAACATCATTTGAGATTGACACAGAAAGAAAATTCCATGTAATTCAGGTATTACAACAGCATATCTTGTGTTCAGGGATGTATTGGAAGGCATAAGCAATCCTTCAGTCACCAGTCAGCTTGGCTAGAAAAAACACACATACTCATACAAATAAACTATGTGGTGCCTGCAGCAAGAAGAAGTTGGACTTGATGATGCAGGAGGTGTGTCCTGATCTGCATTACAGGCATCAAAAGAGAAACATAGCAGCTTTAATCCCTTTTGCATGATTTTGTTCTTGGGCGAAAATGCTAGTAATTGCCTTGGAAGGGTCTATGTAGCATATTATGCTGAATGACTTCAGCTGCTTCATTCTGCCTGCGTGTCCTTGCCAGCACAAATGAGTTCAGGGGCAGCAGATGGGGTAGTGACATTTCTAATGAAAGAGATAGAGAGGGAGGTAAGGAAGGGAGGGGGATTCCTGCCTGCAGAGCTTAGGGGAGAGAGGAGAGGAAAAAGGAAATTTGGAAAGTCTTATTGCTGGCAACAGAAATTACTGGAATTTGGAAATCCAGGATAATAGTCAGTGTGCACATGTACTTGTCTTGTGGATCCCAGGCATCCTTGTAGATTCCTTGGTGCATGGCTGCTGTAGATGTGTATGTTCATAATCTCTTTTCTTCAAGGTATATTTTAGTACTGGCAAAGAGAGAACTTTTTCATTGTATTACCCATAATTTTTATATTTTTAATATAGCAATGTAGTTTAACAATTTCAGTAATGCAAATTAAGATAAAAACCAACAATCACACAAGCCCTACAATAAATAAAGATAAATACAGAAAAGCAAAATTTTAGCATTAGTCCTCTGAAAGCAATAGAATTAAAATTCTGCCTTTCTCTTATGAGATGCATAAAGGGAAAAATAATAGAACAAAACATAGTGCATATGAGAGTGAACTGTTGTTCGCTTTGAATTAATTTGATCCTATTTTAGAATGACTTGGCTTTATTTCACATCTGAAAATCAGCTGAACAGACTGGTAGTTATCTTTTCTAATCATATATCACATTGAAGCAATCTGCTCTATGTCAGTGCATATTGCATGGAGTGGAATTTTCCTTATATCTTTAAAGTAGTGAAGATACCTAAAAGCACAGACAAAGCGTAGATAGAATAATGAACATCATTAATGAAAGTTTCACAGATGACTGCCAGAAAAACAGACCGTCAGCAGCAGTATTCCTTTCTGATTCCCTAAGCTGCCTTCCAGTGACTCTGACTGCTAGTTACACAGTTTCTCTAACCTGTAAAAGTTTTGATGGTTTTAATATTCTAATAAAGGAAGAAAGGGTATCCTAAAGAAAATCTGAAGTAATATCTTATCTAGAAAAATCCAAAATATTAAAATGAAGAAACAGTATTGTCAGATGAGTAATAAGGACAAAAAAAGTGGTTGTGGGAAATAAATAATTTTGATAGCTTCAGAGTGTTGTGTATTTATTTTGACTAAATGACTTAAAAATACTAGGCTTGAATTAATTTAAATTTGAGACACTTCAGCAAATAAGAAATATTTTTCTGCTTTTTTGTTTTTGACAAATAGGCATTTTTCAAGCAAAGACCATTGTGTCACAGAATCACTGTGATTTTGCTGATAAGCCAGGAGTCAAGCTGTGGTAGTTGTACTCATATTAGTATCTACTTGACTATCTGAGTTGTCCTTTTGGGTAGAGGTGCACAGGCCAGTTCTAAATGACTTAAATGCCTTTTTCTGGAATTGATATGTAAAGGGCAACATTACAACTTTACAAACAGGAAGCAAGTTGTTGGGAGGAGCAGATCAAACCACATGTTGTAACTTTGTAAATTATTATTTTCTTTTGGTACTTCTGGTTTTACAAAAAGTAGATGCTATAACAAACAGAACAAATAAACAGACTGATATGCCTCCTCCCTATGCAACTTTAGGAATGTATGGATAGGGTAACCAAAATTTAGAATGGAGTAGAATAGAATAGAATAGAATAGTTCAGGTGGAAGGAACCTCAATGATCTCATCCAACTGCCTGACCACTTCAGGGTTGACCAAAAGTTAAAGCATAATTTAATGGCATAATTTAATGGACCTGCTGTGCCAACTTCTGATAAACTCTACTAGGGGTGTTGAGCGTCTCTGAATCTCATTGAAGCTGAGAGCTGGACATGCTCAGCAGTATATAATTTGATATATCCCAATCTTAGCACAGTCATAATGCACACTATTTTATATAAATGTAGATGAGAACAGTGTAGATGCTAAGTGATTTTAACTCATCATGTTATGTGTAGGTGAGTCTGTGATAAAATAAAGAAAAGGTATTTCCTTCCAGGTTAGTGTTGGTTCTACAGCAAATGTTTTATTTGTTCAAGATGCTGAGCCTGGATGTCCAGAATGGGGAGCAACACAGGAGGAAATGTCTTTTTCTGGCTTCAGTGGAGGGGAAACACACTGCAAAGCCCAC